CCTACGATCTTACAAAATTCATTCAACACCCTACGAATTTTCCAAAAAACTTTCACTGAAATTCCCCCAAAGACCGCCATCTATGTCATCGAAAGAGGAAGCGGGATGAATAAATGGCGAAAAAAACAACGATCGAAAAAATTCTCCGCAGCTCTCTAAAATACAACTGCGACTCCGCTAACAACTGAGTAGGACTGCAGTGATGGGTTCTGCACAACCTGATTCATAGGCCTCCCTCCCTCATGAGTGGGAGTAGGTCGTTGGGTGCACAGCGGTGAAAGTGGCGACAAGGGAGTTGCAAAAAGGGTTACGGTAATTGGTCCGGAAAGAGGATACAGAACACTCCACCAACGGTAAAACTCCCTACTTGACTCCATGGCTCCTACACCCCCCCCCACCACCAAATTTCAAATAGCTAAAGAGCCTTCTGCGAGCCTGTCTGAACCATTCCGCTAGAGCGGTCTAATACCTTCATTGAGCATTTCTCAACCACACTATGCCGTGCATTTGACTCAATACACGTCGAGTCTACAATTGGTGGAAACTTTCTGGCGCTACTAACCTTTGGGGTGGCCAGACCTGTCAGCTTCTCAATGTGCGTCTTTACCTTTGCCAATTCTTTTGTCTTTTCACAGTCGTGTCTCAACCCCGCAAAACCTGTAAATTCCTGTCTACCAAGTAAACTCCTGTCAAGCATGGCGTAGTGGTACTAGTGTCACTGGAACGCCATTTCTCCATTTTCCACTCAGTACACCAGTCATTTTGACAAGTTCGAAAGAAGTTCAGGGGGGGGGGGTGCTTGGCATGTAACAGCTAGGCTTACAAGGCGTTGAAGGCGTTGTCAAAGTCGTCCCTCTTCATATGTATTCATTTTAAAGGTTCTGGTATGCTGTAAACGCTATACAGGGGGGGGGGGCGCAAAAAAGACACTTCTTCCTTGACTTTCGAGGCGCTATAAGTTACACTTTATTGAATTCTGATTGGACATTTCCACCACCATATTCAACAGCATATTGTATACTATCATGATACTCCGCCACAGCCTTCTGGACGAGCGCCATCGAGAGATTCTGCCACGCGACCGTGGGTACCTGAGTTCAGCGAGATCGTTGATTTCTCCGCCACTGTAGACCACCCTGTTGAGCTCCGCCCGAACCAGGTAATTGAGGGGTTTAGGTCAGGTGACACACTTGGATATTCCGTCTTCTTCAGGTACTCAACGCCCTTCCATTCCAAGTAGGCGAGAGTTTTTCCAACGCCCTTCGATTCCATGTGCTGGCACCAATCCTGTAGCAGTACGAAGTTTCCAAGACAGTACAGGCGATGACATGAAGGCAAGAGTTGGTCGATGTGACCGTCAGCGCTCACCTTCAGTCCGGGGTCCACGAAAGAAAATATCGGTCTTCACATTCCAGGAACTTCCGGTCCATACCAACGCCTTGGCGACTGCGGTGAAGATGATATCCTGGACCGTAGCGACGTTGTCGGAGCTGCTCGATGTTGGAGGTCTTCCAGATCAAGAGTACTGGTCTCCAGGTATCCATGGGTGACTCCATACTAGAAGTTTCGCAGCTGTTTGGAGGTGACATGAATTCCAAAGGTCTTCTCCAGTCAGGCTGCGACTGGAGATGACTTCATATTTTGGTGTACATGAAGGTGATGGGCGAGAGCCAGCTCCTGCTTATCGAGGAACATCTTGGGTATCTTCCGCCCTGGTACTCACGTCCTCTGTCTGGGCTGCGAAAACTTCGCTGATATGTGACTCCGCCGAAGTGCCTTTTCTCCCCCTCCCGTGTGGGTGTGCACCCTTAAGATTATTAGCGCCAACATTGCGATGGATGGGAATTCACTATCGTTGTGCCTCCATCATTGATATGCCCCCCCTTACGATCCAGCAGAGGGCGTCTACGAGCGAAGTCCATTTATTGCAAGTCCCGCCTATCCGTTTAACGCGGAGTCGGTTTCAGAGACAGGGCCCCATGTTTTGCTGCCGAGTAGCTCACACCCACAACTCGCTTTTTCTCATTCCGTCAGTGCTATAAACATCATCATCATCATTACTTTTTCTTCATTCTTCTTCCTTTTCGATTTTGACGAAATCCACGAACATTTTAGGGAGTATCACACTCCCAACTGAGTTTTTCTGATTCCCACTCCTGGGGTCACGCCCTCAAACCCTTATTTGGCCCCTGTCTGATTTCTAAAGCTATACCGAACCATTCACAAGAACAAGATTATGAACATTGAAGATTCCGTGCTCCAGCACATTTAATTGGCTGCTTTGAACTGCAGTGATGAAGAGAAGATACGCAGCCAACGGACGGGCGGCTCTTCGCTTTCACTCTTGAACGGTTTCACTGTTATTCTTGGTTTAATTCAAATAAAAATGCAGATGTTTTCACACTGATTACGTTCTGGTTTTTGTTAAACTTAGTTGAGGATGCTATCAAGATTGGAATCAGTGGCTTTATAGAAGTTTACGTTCGGGCTAAAATTCTGTCAGTAGTTTGAGTACTCGGTCAATTTGTGCTCGTTTATGTTTCTTAATTCTGTTTATTTGTGTTTTATTTTGCTACAGACATGTTGTCTCGAAATCTCGCGTTGCCTCGCATAGCTGTTCGTTCTCTGAGAACGTCGGCTCCACTTGCCAGTGGCCACCACATCGAACATTGGTGGGGTCCTGAGAAAGCAGCTGGACGCGAGCTTGTTGGATTTGGAGTCTCAGGAGATAACGTGAGCTTGCTAACCTCTTTAGCGTGCCATTTATTCGCTAAACGGGTGCTCTTTGACGCCTTATGTCTTTCGTCTTCAGATTTATTCCGATCGCTTGGACTACTGGTATCCTGCCATCAGGTTCCGCAAGGAGGATGATATCATCGCGCCAATCAGAAAGAAGGAACAAGGTGATTGGAAGAATCTCTCCCTCGAGGACAAGAAACTCTGTGAGTCACTGAATTCTAATCTGGGGGATTTTGCTCGTTTTTATTTCTCTTTTTTACTTAGATTCTGTTCTTCTCGGTCTTTTACTATTTGTTTACGGGTTTTATGATGTAGATTACTTTGATTTTATTGGCTAGTTGTCAATATTTATCTCAGTAGCAAATCTTTAGCGTTTCCGATCAGAACAAAACGTTCAAAATTAGAGTGGTGAAGTTACTGAAAAGGGGAGAGGTACTTTTTGGTTTGGAGGGGAAGTTGGTACATGTACTGGTTCTTTTTGCTAATTCGTGTTGTACATGTACTGGTTCTTTTTGCTAATTCGTGTTAACTAACAGGTCTGGTAAGACCTGTAAACTCTTGTGAAGCCAGTACCTTTTGGTTCCAACCAAGCCGAACAGCGCCGGCAGAATGCAACCAATATTTTGGAAATTATGCGGCTTCGGTTATTCGATTAGGGTCCCTTACTGGTCTGTATCGCATTTTTTCTAGAAAACCACAAAACTGAAGTTGCTCAATCGAAATGCTGGCCTATATTTATCAGAGGTTGGGTATTCACAACGCAGAGTTTTCGGGACGGATTCAAAGGCACGTACCGCGTTCGAAAATGATGAGTTGTGCGGCTCAAATGCTAATTAAAGGTGGCAAAAGATTCAGTAATCGTGAGAAAATCAGAAAAACCTACCCGACATTCTCCATCTAAAACCCCACCTTACGAACCGCGTTTGCACGTGCGTAAGGCAAAGAACGTGGTTGGACCAGTTGTCACTAGGGCACGCTATCGCGTTGTGGTCATTTCCAGAAAAATACGACCCTCC